CCCAGATCCAAAAGAAACAAAATAAACAGGTAACTTTCATTAAAATTGTCCAAAGTCTATGATCTGATTTCTATATCCATCCCTAGACTGAATTTTTTAGCTCTTGGTATGTGTTAATTTACATGATTGTCTTTCACAATTTCTATAAAGCAATAGTCTTCTTGCTCAATAAATCTGCCTTTTTCTATAAGCATATATTCTTTGCTGCCTAGAAACAATTGTAACTAAGAACAGCGAAGGGCTAAATACTGTATCAATATGACTTGGCCTTTGAGCCTAAAGATCTCCATTAGGTCATAAGCAGAAGCCAAATAGATCATCTTGGCCTAGATTGCAGAGTAATGAAAAATTAAGCAACAAAAGTCAATCAGTAGGAATTCTATTTTTACTACAAACTCTTCTATTACTATTTCTATTAAATATTATATGTCATAAGTTCGTATTATAATATCTTTCAAAAGATCAACTTCAGTATATTAAAATAGGTCATAAAAAATAAATTCCTTTTGTAGCTCCACTAGCCTCAGGAAAATAACAAATCCCATTACTCATATACCTTGCTGGCTACATGTTCTAAGAAATTATATTTATATAAATGAGTAGATTTTTAGTTGAAGGAAAAAAATACATTTATAGCACAATCACCTAGCTTTTTTCTAGAAAGCTAAATGCAATAGGAAAATTGTGGTTGTTAAAGACAGTGATATCAACCAACAACTTGCAGATGCAGTTCAAAATAAATTTTAAAATTATTATTAAAAATGATAACTCAGAATAAAAGTATGTCAAGAAACTTAAAACACTGATCGAATGATCTCTGATAATAAAATCCGTACTAGCCCACTCTAAAATTCTATAGTGACTATTTTTGTTCTATCTGTAAACAAATTAGTATAATTATAACATTTAATATGGACTTACAGTGGTTTGTCTCACAAAAAGAAGTCTATCACTGAAAAACACCTCAAAAAGTGAAGGTAACTACTAGAGTTTCATTATAATTAAAATTTTATTAATGTATTTCAGTTATGATGGAGTGCATCAGATGAACTTTAAATCCTTTGCATCAATTTTTAAATCTATGAATCAAAAATCTAATTCATTTCTACACTACAAATAGAAGGCATGCCATAGACAGTTATTAAGCCTCTACTTATTTTAGTGAATAATAAAATCCAAAAGTAAACAACTTTTTGTTTAAAAAATCTTTACTACAAATTAAAAGACAAAGATACTTAATAAAGTACAAAATATTTCAGAAAGACCACCAACCTTGAAAAAATCTTCAAGTTGTTTACTGTTATAAAGAGCAGGAAGGTTGGCAGAAAACTGTAGCAGATCTTCAGCACACTGTCTCCTCTCTTCAATAACAGTTTCATCAAATCGTCCTAGAATTAAATAAGAATCAACTCTGTAAGTAGAGAAGAATCAAACATGGATTTATAATAGTTTATGTTCACAGAGTAAAGAGCAGCAGCAGGCCTATCACAACACTGCCTATTTACTCTAATTATGCGATCTTCTCAAATCAAATCTTGTCTCCACAACTGGAATCAGCAGCACCCTCACCAGAAAAGAAAATCATGTTTCAAATAAAACAAGAAGCAAAGGTGTCAACTGATAAATTAATGCTGCCAACATAATCTAAGGCCTGTCAATATAAGAAACTTACCATTTAAAAAACTGGTGATTTGAAACTGAAGTTGAAAAGAATTATATAAAGAACTCTGACGGTTTTCTATAGTAATTTAATACTGTAATTACTCATATAATTTCCCCTTTCACACTTTTTTTGATTTATAAAGGAACTGAAGAGAAAAAATTATGAGAACATCTGTATATCAATGGGTTCAAAAGCAAAAAGCTTTTAAGCCGAATTCCATGTGTAATGCTGTCAGCAGCACATATGACAGTGTGCTTGCGAGAAAAAAGAGAACACACATGGCACAAGTGAGCTCTGGTTTACCAGGTGATCGAAAGGTGCTTTTCACAGAATTTTTTAAATAACATATACAATTTGAATGCTGACAAGACATTTTCAAATATGATCATTCTTTACTACTCTCACATCAGATTACCCATTGGCATCTGACACATGCCATGTAGTATACTGAATACAATACAGATTTTTAAAAAACACAAACTCAAAATAGTATCATCACATATTTAAATAGTTTCAGTGGCTTGCAAAATGTTAAGAGAAAACTAAGAAACAAAAAGATTCCTAGATATATTACCCAAAGCAAGAATTTGAAACTGAACCACTAAATATCTCAAGCTCAGTGTGTTGCATTCTTACGATGAAGTGTCTATCTCATGATAACTAGACTCGTGTTCAAATAGTAGCTCCATCATTCACTAGCTATAAAATCTTAGGCAGATTATTTCTTAATTTATAAAATGGAAAAGATGAACAATGTACTTAAGGCTCCCAGTTCCATGCCAGGCACACACTAGGTACTTAATAAATCAATCATGGTGTCTTTGAATCTTCAAGTACCATCATACAGTGTCTAGCATACAGAACATGCTAATAAACTTTTGTTGACTTTATGAGTAAATAATGAAAACTTAGAAAATTTTTCTAACAAAAAAAACTGTCTTAGTGGAACATTCTATCCTAGAAGATAGTAATCTTTCACTAATAAATTGTAACAATGGGTCCATAAAGAGCCCCCTACGCTTAATGGAGATAACAGTCCTACAAAATTCCATGCATATGTCCACAGGCACAATTTTCTAGGAAAAGAGTGTATAACTTTTGTCAGCATCCCCAAAGAACTCAAGTCCCCGTACAGGTTAGCAGGGACACGGAAGTCTATTAGATCCAGGATACTACTGCCAACTGCCATCTCAATGTGTTCTCAACATATTCCTAGAAGTAAAAGATTCCCTAATTTCTAAGATACAGGCAGCCCAGGGGGGAAATCTCTTTAAGAGATAGCCAGTATATACCTTCTCCCTTCTCCCTTTCCTTCTTTCTCCTTTTCCTTTTCCAAAAAGGACTATGAAGTGGAAGCTAAAAAATGACAGAGCAACAAGGCAGGATCTTTCATTCCTAACTACTGTGGAGCTGTCCTGCCGATGCTACCTCCAGATCTTATATCATGAGTATAAAACCAACATCTGTCTGATTTTAAGCTTTTTCACAAGTAACCAAACCTAACAGAATCCATTATATCTGTTTTTCCATTAGTTCTCAGTTCATATGCAACAATCCAATTAAACTCAGTATCCCAATGACAAAGGCACATCTAAAATGACACTGCTGGCTTTTCTATCAATAATATTATCTGGAAACAAACTTCCGAGAACCCCAACACATATAGCACATTCTCTGGCCTGAAAACAATCTAAATTACTCAATCCTGGGGAAAATATACTAGCCAAAAAGATTAAAATGGCAGCTAAATGTCCATTATTCCTTCTTTTTCCTAAGTAAGAAATTAAGTATGCACCGGTGCTTGTGATTATCATCCAAACATATTTATATTTTAAACAAAAGAGTAAATTCCAGGGCCTATGAATTAATATTAGTAATTTTGTGGGCATCTATAATCCTAGAACAGAAACCCAGAAAATGCGCACATTATACACTATGTTTCAACCCAGAAGACCACATAGTATTGTCTTTAAATGCATAACTATTTATTGAGAACTTTTAATAAAAAGCTTCCTCATATTTGATGATACCCTTAAAAAATCTTACTTACTAGCTGAAACAAATATATACAAATTTGAGATCTTTAATCCTATAGTGATCAATGACTCAGCCCACCTTCCTGGTAAGTTAAGACTAAAATGCTTAAGCAAGAAGTGTATTACAAGAAGTGTACTAACTCCTAAACAGAATACATATGTCAAAAGCATGCCTTTGTAGTACTCCTATTGATCTTTGCATTTCCATTCCACTAAACTTAGATAAGCAGAGATGAATTAAAACATCTTTCAGAGTGGAGCACAACCAAAAATAAAGGCTTACGCATTAAAAGGTTCAATTACACTGAATCCAATCATCAGAACAAATGTGATTAAAGAACATTCTCATTTCTTTGTTCCTAAGATTTCAGAATAAAAAAAAATAGTACTGGTTAACGTAAACAAAAAAAAAAGTAGTTGGGTTTTAATGCAATAACTACTGGCCCTAATATATATAACAAAACAACCTAATTTTAAAGGTAAATTAAAAAGTAGCAATATTCAACAATCATCCTAATGGTAGACAACACCCTATTCTTTAGTTGTTAATCCTTTAATATCATCAAAACTTTCATTTGAAAGGCAGAAACAATGGGATATCATAATCAAGTGCTTCTCTTATCCCTGTTTAAATTTCCAGTCACAGGGTCATTGTTTATATAACTTACAACAGAAAGTGCAAAACAATTTTTCCTGAGAAAGTCTAATATGCAATATTATATATTATGTATATTATTTGTGTGTGTATGTATTATATACAAGCCATTCCACCGCTTCTAATTACACAATAATGGTTTGTTTATTAAAAGCTAGAGGAAGGAGGAATAAATTCAAACATTCTAACAAAGCTCGTAAATCATCGGAAATAAGTCTCTTTCTTTGATTTATAAGCTGACTTCAGGATCTTCTCTGTTTTTATTATTATTACTCCTAGAAAACAGAGCTTATAACTTTTTAAAATGCAAATGTCGATGATCAAAAATTGGTTATATGCAACTAAAAGTTATCCTTAACCAGTATGAAACTAGCCAGGAAAGCTTGATGGTGATTCTTAACTACATCAAAAATTCAGTCACAGAGTAAAATAAAGAGGCCAAAGTTCTCACCTGTGAATTCCCTCTAGTCAACAGTACCAAGAACACACCTCTAGTTAAATAAGCGGGATGAATTACACCTTTAACTAGGGAGAATATACACTATTGGGAACACTGGGGCATTTCACTAAGAAGGTGTTAGAAAGGACTTAAAGGATTTGGGCTTGTGTTGGGTGCTTTCGAGAAAGGCTCAAAGAAGTGGAGCTTTGCTTGGTTTGGATGCTGTCAGGAAGTGTAGGTATTCTATGACTATGAATTCTAATTCTAGGATTTAAAAATATCTTCCTATGAGGCAAGAAGAATGAAGAGAGGCTATGGCTGTCATTTATGAAGAAGCTGCGTCACTCACGGTAACCAGAATGCTTAATCATTTTTGTGACTTGAACAACATTCATGTTTTTGTCTGTGTTTAGACATGATCATGGAGTAATCTTGTTTTTGTCTTAATCCAAAGACACACAGTGGCCTTGTCTAATGTGTATGTTCTGTGAAACTGTTTAGGTTTAACAGAATAACACAGCCTAGCTGTGAATGCCAGGTCAGCTCTAAGAAACCCAGAGGTCGAATGGATAGGTAGTGCCAGGCCAATTCTTTCTCAGCTATCAAGAGCTGCTAGCCCCTTTCTCAGAGGAAATCTAGTACGATGAGAGATCTAACGAAAAAGAAAAAGAAAAAAAAAAATCTGATCATAAGAAAACAATCAGATCTAGAGTGTGAAACCCACAAAACTGACTTATACTTTTTACAATGTCAATGTCATAAAAGAAAAAATGCATGAGAAATGCTCTATATTAAAGAAATAAACCTAGGGCCTGATTCTGGATCCAAAAAAAAAAAACTAAAAGGAATATTTTCAGGACAACTGGGGCAATGTGAATATGGACTACATAATTGATCATTTTATTGTATCAACATTAAATTTCTTCAGTGTGATACGGTATTGTGGTTATAGGGAAAATATGGAAAAAAGGGGGTGAAATGTCATAATATCTGTAACTTAGTCTCAAATGGTTCAAGAAAAAAATTAGACACACACAGAGTTACAGACAAATGTGGTAAATCGTGAATCAGTAAACTTGGGCAACCGTTATGTAAGTGTTCGCCATACTATTCTTGTGAGGTTTTTTCCTATAAATTGGGATAATTCTGCAAATTTAAAAAAATTGGAGAAAAATAAGTTAGGTGCTATATTGGTGAGATATAGAACTGAAGGAAACGACTAACTCAGCCTAAAGGAAACACAGAAAACTTCCTAGGAGACATCTAAAAAAATCTGTGAGAGGCTAACCAGAAATCTCACAGAGGAGCAGTGCAACACTAAAGAAGGAAACACAAGGGTGTATGGTAAACTGAGCAACAGATGATAGCTAACAATAGATGATGACATGCGTGGAGCACTAAACATACTACAGATTAAATCCTCAGAACAGGAAGGTATTATTCCTATCTTACCAATAAGAAAAAGGACTCATATTAATTTGTACAAGATCACACCACTGGTAAATAGTGGATAGATTTGGGCCTAAATCCATCTAATTACTAAAGTCATGTTCTTTTTACTGTAACACTTTTTACTGTAACTACATATCTGATGATTCAGCAAATTACAAAAGGACTCTCTTTTGCTGCTGAGGCTAACGTACTAAAAATGTGAGAGTAGCTAAAAAAACAGATGACTAACCAACAATTCCCCCGACACAACCACAGCTGCTGCCTGCAGGGTTCACTGCAGTTATCAAGTATTACAAATGGACTGTACCATTTACTGAGAGTGATAAATTGCTTACTTATTAAGATTAATAAAAAACTTTCACTCTTTAATATATAAGGATGTGAAGAAAAGTTGGAGATAATCCATTAGCAACAGACAATAATAGCTAAGAACCAATTTAGAAGCAATTCCCTTTCATCCAGTGACAAGCTTATTGTTAATGAAGCCAGGCTGTTTATCTTCCAACACTCAATTTAAAGATATATGTGCACAGCTAAATTCCACAGTGCAGAAGGTTTAAGGTAAAAGGTAAAAATATCCCACCTCCCATGCCCTCAGAGATTTCACGCATTATACAAATGTGTGTAGGTACGTCTTCACACAAATCTGTCTATTTTAAACATAGATGGGATCTTACTAAACATAGTGCTATCCAATATTTGTTTCCTGTTTCTGAAAAATATATCTTGGACACCTTTCCATGCCGGTAGATCTCAAATAGCTGAAGAAGTCTATTAATTGGCCAAATTATGGTGCATCCATACTATCACATATTGAGAAATTTCGGTTTAAGTTTTCTTCTATTGAAAATGCTGCAAGGAACACCCACGTGTATGTACATATGTGTGTGTACATATCTGTGTGGCTGTGTATGTATGTGTGCTCTCACATGTGGTCCACAGACTGCTGAGGGTCCCCTAAGGGCCTTTCGAGATATCAACAAGGTCAAAATCATTTTCATAATCCTAAGACAGTAGTTGCATTGTTCACCACATTGACATTTGCACTGATAATCTAAAAGCAACGGCAGTAAAACAGCTGACCTTAGCATGAATCAAGACTAAACTATACTTATTAGTAATCGTCATATTCCTTACTGCCACTCATTTGCATTAAAGGTTTAAATGCCACTTTCAGTTAAGAATGTCCTTGATGAAGCAGAAAATTTATTAATTTTGTTTATTAAATCTCAACGCTTGAGATCATTTCTTTTTAAAAATATGCAGAAAAAAACAAATATTCAGACTTGGATAGCTGGCAGATATTTTCTCAAAAATAAAGTAAATCTGACACTTCAAGGAAAACTACCAATAGCATTGTTTTCAATGATGAAATTCAAACTGTCAAGTCACCATGAACTTGAGAGCTCCCCAATACTTAAAAAATTTCCTTTAGAGATCTGTAATATTAACTATTTTTTGATACTGTATAATGAAATGGGTCAACATTTCCAAGAAACATATATATTTTAAAAATCAAAAAAATTCCAAACTATAATAATTCAACATCATCTTTCCTTATGATCCAACAGTTTTTTTCATTTGTTTGATTGGTTGGAGTTGGGAGTTGTTGTCGCGTTGCTGTTTCATGGAAGGGAAAAAGAAATGCATTCTGAGTTAGCGAAACTACCAAGAACATGAAAAACAACTTCAGGTGCTTGTTGCATGACAGGAATTATCTTAATAAAGGGGCTTCTGACTTTATTTATAGCACAGTATTTCGGGGATTAGCACATATGCATAACTGGTTAATCGTGAATTTTAAAATCACAAATTCAAAATAATTACATACCAAACACTTTTCCTTTGGCAAATGGAGGAAACAATTCTGAATGTCGGAATAAGTTTTTGTGAATTTGCCATAGTTCTTTGTGTAGTTTCTTAAAGTCGCTGTATCTCTTCCATACGATTATCTGAAGAGAGAAGAAAATTAAATGTGCATCTCACAGTGAAACTATTTAGGTTCAGATAGCTGAACAACATATAATCTTTTCATTTAAGTGCTCAAAATTGCCAAGCAAAGGTAAACAAATATTGCTTCTAACCAATGTGGTAACTGTCTGAAATTAATAATATTTGCTTTAAAAATATAAAACAGTTATTCTTCCTCCAAATATTCCATTTTGGTCTTTAAACAAGTACTGTTTTCTTTATACTAGAAAAATATTCACTCTAATACAAAGAAGGTCTATACTACATAAAATGTTACTTAACCTCTTCGAAAGCCAATTACTATTGGCCTAGAAATGAGCTAGATGTCAAAATACATATTCTATTGCAAAAACAGCATGTTCATAAACAAAAAATAATCTAGACCATTTTTCAAAACGAAGTACACACTCAACATTTGCCTAAAAGGATAAAGTAAATAACAATGAAGAAGAAATGGCCTTATAGCAACTAATTAACATAAACTTTATTACATAAATCTCAATTTAAAGTAGTAATAAGATTTCTGGAGGTAAGGTGACTCTTGATCATAAAACCATTAAAAGTAGTATATTTTAAAAAACAAATTAAAAGTTTACCTTCATTAGTATGAATTACCATTTAAACACACTGAGATTAAACTAGAAAAAAATCTTTATAAAGAAAAAGGATGTGACACATGGCCTTGATATCACTGATTCATCATCCTTCAGTCTCCACTAAAGAGAATAAAAGTGAGTTTTAAATTCTGTCACCTGGTATACTAACTGGGGCCTTTGCTTCTAAAAAACTCGCTTACCTCAGTTCTAACAAACTCACTATTAGAGTGCAATGTTAATAAGCAAAGCTCAAGCCAAGCAGGTTGCCACATGTGATTTAGGCTCAATAACAAAAATAGTCATCAAAACAAATATTTTCATGGCCCTCCTTTGTGCTAGGCACTGCGTTGGCACAAAGGATGAAGAAATGAGAAACATAATTCCTGCCTTTGAAGAGTTCCCAGTCCAGTCAGGAAGAATAAGCCAACACGATAACTACATCCCAAGACAGCGGCATGGTAAATGCTAGAAGGGCAGCCTATGGATGTTAAAGAAAAAGCATCTAAACCAGCCTTGGGGTCTAAGAAGACTTTACAGAAAGTTTTATCTTAGGTGAGTAGCCTGAAGGGAAATAGTGATTAGAACAACAAAAATAGAGAGAGAAGGGGTTGTTGATGAAGTTTTTAATAGGAGAGCAAGATGCCAAATAAATAATTACTAGAATTATGGCTTTTGCAACCGGATAAATGGTGATGCTATTCCCTAAGATGAAAAGCCAAGGGAGAAGGAGCTGTTCTGAGATAAGAACAAAGTTCGATTTTAGACATATTTGCTTTAGTGCTTGTGAGGCATCTAACTGGAAATGTCCAATAGGAAAGATGGGTTTGGGGTTCAAGAGCGAGAACCAAGCAAGATGTATTAATGTCAGAGTCATCAGCAGAGAGGTGGTAATCAATCACTCAGGAAAGGTTTCTCAGTATTTGATGAGGAGCCTAACAACAGAATGATGGGGAACCATAACATGGAGGGGCCAGCCAGAGGTAAGGAAGAGAAAATCAAGGGCAGAGTAAGTGTTAAGCAGCTTGGCTGTGCCATGAGACGGGCCACCTGGACAGAAGAGATTATATTTTTAAATGACGTAAATGAAGCAAGTGCTGATAGCAAAATACCAGTAATTCCAGTAAAAGACAAAGAGAAATGAAGAGAGCCAAACCAAACACTTGAAAAGTAAAAGTCCTCAGCATAGTAAAATTATAGTGATTTTAATTTTCATATTTTGTGCTTCTCTATAGTTCCTAATTTTAATTCATGAATGTAATTCTGTCATGGGGGAAAAAATGTTAGTTTTGTATTTTTAAAATAGATCAAATTATAGTAGCACTACATTACCAAGGGCTTAAAGGGAAACTAGGTGATAGACTTATGCCATCTTTAAAGCCATTATGAACTAGACATAAGAGCTATTCAAAGGACTGTAGCTCATGGAAACAAAGAACTCTGCAGATAAAATTTATATTCTAGTTGGGGTCATTTTAAAATAAAGGCAGAGGAACTTAAGGGGCAAAAGTTAACAATGTAATTGCAATAATGATAGTAACACCATAGTACATAAACCAGTGGATAGTTTGTCAGGTAAGAATGAGAACTCCCCAACCCAATGTGAGCACCTGTGTTTAACCATGCTCTAATTTATTCACTCACATATTCCTTATTCTCAGCTCTAGAAATATAGAACTGAAATATCTGAGAGCAAATATAAACCCTCAAGAAATATGGGAAACCAAAGCATCACAAAATGTCACTATCCACTGCCTCCTTTCTTCTTACTCCTTCTAAGCTTGAACATTTCTAGAAATCTTCAAAATGGAAAAGTGAACAGAAGCAAACATCCTTTACATCAGCAAGTATTCATGTTTACAATTGGACTACACAAAGTACCAAAAGATACATGCAAAAATCATTTTCTCTAATAATCAATTTTTTCGTATTGCTATTGCTCTATTGAACCAACTCTACAGAAATTTCTTATTCATTAAAGTTATCTGAATAAAATTCCTCAATTAAATATTAATTCAGTGACAATCATAGACTACAAATTTAATAAATGCTTCGTTTTCATTAAAAACATTCCCTTAAGTACTTACATTAAAAAAAAAAAATTTTCTTTTAAGATAATTTTATTTAATGATACCAAAAACCTTTAGATCTCTTGTATTTCATAAAACCACTCAATTGTCTTTTTTACTCTCCTATAGTACTTAAATCTTGCTTGATTGTCTTTTTTGCAACAAACATCATACCATACTATTTGCTTATGGATTTCCTTTCCCCCTTTCAAGAGCCTTTGACACATTTCTGATGCCAATCAGGTTTACTACCTATGGAGAAACAATACTTTGACAGATTCGCCCATGCTGCTTTTAATAAATAAGAATTCAGAGGAATTTTTAAAAGATAAAAAAAGGTACCTGGATAATTTTAAATTATTTACTCCATGTGAGTATTTCAGCATTCTTAGGAAGAAAACACTGCTGTCTGGTAGCATGTGCCAAGGCATATGAAGAAAAGAAAACAGCAATATTTTATAAGGAATACCTATTATTGGCCCTGTATTTGGTTAGACTAACTGTGCATCTACTAATCCTCAATAGCCCTTGTGAAGCCTGACTACATTCTAAAACAATAACTAAATGTATCAGTGAACAGAAAGAGAAAGTGAAAGAAAATGGAAACAAATTCTAGGGGGTGAATTCCTCTCCTAAATGAGAATTCCAATGTTCAAGGAAATATATGTAAAAATAAAAAGTGCTATTATAATTTCAAGGTTATTCTATATTTTAAGAAGCTAGTTAGACAGAAGACATTATTTTTCAATTTTATAGCATTTCTAATAAAGGACCATGCAATCATCTAACTAAAGGACACTTACAAGAGTTTTCTGATGAATGGATCACCAACAGTTGTTATTATAAAAGAGATTTCCCCAAAAAATGATTAAGGAAATGGCAGAAAGTATGTTCATGGGTAGGTTGATTCAGGATTCTCCCTGGAAAAGGGGAACATCAAGCTACAAACTACAGCACAGCAATCAATGTATTCAAAAGAAATACAACCCATTTTCAATTTTAACAGAGTTGTAAATTTGCAAAAGCAGAATAGCCTGGTATTGACTATGAATTCAACATTCTAAAGAGTTCTAAATTCTAAAGAGTAGTTCACACTAATCAAGTTGACACTTAAGTAAAGAGAGTATTTTAATCAATGGTGCAAACAATTTCACCGCCATTCTAGGAGACAGAGATATATATATCCTTTCCTTCCAAAATAACAATATTACAATATTCTCATCAGAGCTATGGGGGATGGGATGAGGGGAGTAAGACATCTTAAAACCCTAAGGAAAAATAATATGAAATCTTTTTAAAATATGCCTTTCATTGAACTATTTTTAACCATAAGACAAAAACAAATTTCAGACCAGGTATGGTAAGAAATGGTAATGTATAAAAGTTGAAATAAATAAACCTGATGTCACATATTCGAACCAACCAGTACCAAACAATCAACTTAAATATATAAATCAAGCCAGATTTGTCAATAAGGAGTAGTAATGGGGCTTGTGGCTAAAAAGAAAGTACATACTCCACTAAAGACATTAAAATCAACTTGGAAAAAAAAAAAAACATTGTTGCAGAATCAAGGCTGCTAATTTGCAATGTCTGTTTTAAACACTTTAGTAAGAAAAAAAAAAGTCCTCAACATATATCCTTCTAATCTTAGTGCAAATGAGATCAGGGTAATCACTTTGCAAGGTATATAAATGTCTAATCAGTATGTTGTACATGAAACTAATATGATATTGTATGTCAACAGTAATTGGAAAATAAATTAATTTTTTAAAAAATAAATAAGAAAATGAACAAATACTAAAATGACAGTAAATCAAAAAACATTAAAAGAAGCTCCTCAGTGAGGATTCCTAAAGGTATGTAATGAGCACAAAGTAATTACAAACAGAGAATTCCACAGTTTTAAGCAAAAACATAACAAGCTGGTATCATTAGAGAGGGGAAAACTCTGCAAAAGAACTTATTACAAAATTTTAAAAAGAAACATCTACACCCAAAGCAGTTTTCCAGGATGTCAACATGTCAACTCAATATAAAAATAGAAGTAGACAGAAACCCATTTATTATTATAATCTTTTAAATTAATATTACTTATCAAATACTTTGCATTTTTTATTAACGAGGCATCAAACAGGTAAATAAGGGCCCTTAACTAATACTGAAATCTTATTATGAGGGCCACTTATCAGAAAAAGTACCATGTTATTAACAGCATTATAAGTCCTGAAATTATTTACATAACTTAACACTTACTAAAATTTAGCACATACTTAATAGGTCTGAGTAACTTCTCAAATTCTTATTTAACACCTACTAAAACTTAACTAGTAATTAACAGGTCTGAAATAGGACACTTCAACTACTGTTTTGTGAGCTGAAAACATCATCCACACAAACATACAAATACAGACTGACATACAAATAATTCATTTTAACAATAAAGTAGTTAACTAAATTTTTGTCAAATATACAAAATAAAACTCATATGGATAAACATGTTACCTCCTGGACATCCTCTGGATTTCTTCGTGAAACAACCTAAAACAAAACATACACAGAAATATCTAATTATCAAAATTTAAGATTTCACATTTGTATAATTACTTTCGACAGTATTTTTATTTTAAAAAAATCTATTTGCTTAAAGGAAAAGAAATAACCATATTATATCACTTACATGGAACTCAGCTATATAGTAACTTCACTATCTGAAACAACACACTAAAAAATTAAGCATAAAGGCAGAGCTGAAATAAAATCCACATTCTAAAGTTCCCATATCACAGTCACAAAAGAATGCCTCAGGCCTTCACACTTACGTGACATAATTCTACCAAACTTTTCTACTCCCCTTACCAGCCTCCATATAAATTAGAAGCACAAAAAGCAGCTGCATCTGGATAAAGTATGCAAGGGACTGCTCCACATTATTTCTTCTAACTGGATATGAATCTACAATTAGCTCAAAAAAATTTTCAGTAAAAAAAAAGCAGCCACAATGTTCAGACACATAAATATCTGTGAGAAGAAATCACTGAATACCTAATATATACCTATATTCTCTGAGCAAAGAGGAGAGAAGGTTCTTTCAGACTTCTCTAATTCCAAAAGCAAAAAAATCTAACACCAAAATAAATAAACAAACAAACAAACAAACAAATTAATTAATTAATTGATTGACTGATTTTTAAAAATCTAACACCATTTAGAAAGATTTTCTCACATAACTTTTGAAAAAAAAGAAGGCTAGGTACTTAAATCATCAAATGGCATTGTACAGTGGGAAAATCTCACATTATATACAAAATATCATCTATATAAATGTAAAATTCATGAACATAATGCTACAATATGCATTTTGCAAAAAAATAAAAAAGATACATCAAACACATGGTTGCCTATGGGTGAAAGAAAAATTCTTTGATAACTAGTGACAACAGCATGAACCAGGGATTTCGATCAACTACTCCTGAGGTCTAAAACAAAAACAAAAAAAAACTACCATTTAAAGTCTGACATACCTGGGTTCAAATTACAGTTCTTCTACTGACAGGCTTGATCCCCTCTATAAAATGGGGATAATACTCCCTGCTTAACTTGGCTGTTGTGGACATCAAAAAAGAATACAGCACGAACTCCATGATTAAAAAGTTAGCTCCCTCACTCCCTTACTAGAGGATTTAACTATCTTGAAAGGTCTCACTTAAGAATTCCAGACAGGAAAGGTTTCCATTTTCTTGCCACTCTATTCTCCAACTAGATATATAAATTTGGTAAAATCTCTTACAATTTTCAATAATTTAGAACAGTGCTGTCCAACAGAATTTTCTCTGACAATGGAAAGAAATGTTCCTATCTGCACTGTCCATACGTGTGTGTGTGTGGCTACTGAGACAAAAACAGAATTTTTATTTTATTTCATTTAACTAAAAATAGTCACATATGGCTAATAGCTACCTTATTAGAAAACATGGATTTAGAATAAAAGGCAAGAATAGGTAACTAATAACCATACAGTACTCAAATATTGGATTTTAGCTATTACTTTCAAATACCACACACCTCACCCCCATTGCACCACACACACACACACACACACACACACACACACACACACACACCTCTGTCCCAATTATGGTATTTCACATAATAAAATAATTTTGCCTTATAAATTTTTCTTGCATTTTTATAAAATAAGCTAATGAGAAGAAAGTCGGGGATATCAATTCACTAATAATCCACCCACCAAAAACAGTCAACATAGGATCACTGGCGAAAAGGTTTATTCAGGCAGGTGACATGACACTGAATGCTCGCTGCCCAGACCATGGTAGCAAATTGCATTCCAGAAGCAGTCAAGAACACAGTTTAATGATTTAAGACTTTTAATGTTTTCATGATACTAAGATACTTATGGTTATTACAGGAAATACAGAAAATAAAAGTTTAAGTAGTTTTAAACCACCTAGGTGAAGGTCTTTAATTTTAAGCTTACAAGAGGCACTTCTCTTCACCCTCAAATATTTCTCAAGTGAAGGGAAGAAAATTCACTTATGTAGAGTTCAGAAAATTAAATTGAGAGCTGTTTGCTGAGTATTAACTATCCCTTTCCCCAACAGCATAAACAAAGCTTAGTGAAAATCAAGTCTGGAAAGTTCAGGGCTCTACTTTCCTGATTCTCCTTTCTTTTTCCCTTTGGTTCTTCTGCTTCTCTTTTCTTGGTTCCTCTTCCTCCTTCTACCCCCCAACACTCTGTGAGCACTCCAAGAATCAGTCCTAGACTTGTTTCTTAGCTTCTTTTTTATTATTGAGAGAAAGTCTTTACCTGTGATAATATCGTTCAAGACACTGTGCTAGGCATGGGGGAAAAAAACCTTGTCTTACTACATTTACATTTGCAAAGCATTTTTTATCAATGATTCATTTTATTCCTTCAACAACTTATGAATTGGGCAGGAGTGGTTATTATGAGTGTCCCTTTTACAGACAAGACCCAAAGATTCGTATAATGCCACAAGGCTATTCACCTTTAGATATGAAATTAGAACTGAGATTTTCTGACTCCTGATCTAATGCTCTTCACTGTACTCTGCCTCCCTCCATTTATCTGTGATATTTTCAACAATAATTAAGTTTATTTACTTCCACAAAACCTTGTCACCATTAGGTTTTATTTATTCTTTCAAACCCAAATATCAATAACTTTTAATACTATATTAGCAATTATTTCAAGAAGTAGTATCAATTCTAATAAAAAATACTTAAATTCACTCTGATATAGATTGCTGGCATTTAGTAATTTTTTTCTGGGTGAATTTCAGTATTTTGTCATAAAATTCAGCCAATAAATTCCACAAAAGTTGGAATTTAAAGCAGTGGTATCTTTCATTTAAAGTTTATAAATTTCTATAGCTCAGTAAGTAC